CATTATTACCCTTTTAATTTTAAATTTTTTTGAATCTTTTTAAATTTTAATTTTAATTTTTAAAATCTTTTAATTTTATTTTTTATCACAATATGTGGTTACTGAGTTGTTCTCGCGTTTTCGTAAATCACAGGAGTTCTCGTTTGAACCCTTCCCTATATATATATATATATATATATATATATATATATACACATTATATTATAAAACATTTGATAAAAAAAGTTAAAAATCATTTTTTATACGTAAAGTACTGTTTATTAATGCATATTATTTAAAATTCAAGATTTCAAGTAGATTGTACGTAAGTATAACTTATTAAAGCTTCATATTTGAATTTGTATAACTAACTGCAGATAAACATAATCAAATACAAGATAAACATATCATTTTAAATATAAAAAATATAAAATATAATTAGATAATCATTGAGTTCTAACAGAATACTTAAATTATTATCTTTATAAAAATGTTAAATTACTAAACCAAAAATAAATTATTTCATTATTAAACTTATATTAAATTATAATTAAAAAATTACTTTTTATGAGAACTTTTAAATAGTTGATTTGATATTAACATTGATATTTTTTTTTCAAATTTTTATGATATCTTCAAACTTAAATTTTATTCAAAAATAAAATCATTATTGCTTTCTTAAAAACACATAAAATCGTATTATAACATCGACATTGACAAATAATAAAATAGAACAGTAAAATCGAGATGTATCTCGCTGCATTGCGTGAGTACTCTTCTAGTATATATATATATATATATATATATATATATATATAGACTTGGGATCATGTGAGACCAATGGTTTTTCGTGAGACTCGTAAGACCAATTCTCAACCTTTGGATTAGATCTACAATCTGACAATCTGAACATTCATAAACGTCACGAGACTTCTCAGTAATCACAAAATTGTCATTGTGCAATTTCAGACCATTAGATCATTAGTTTATAAAGTAGATCAATAAATATAAATTGGTCTTACGGATCTTACGAAAAACCTTTGGTCTAACGTGAACCCAACCATATATATATATATGTATATATTAGAATTGTTTTCATATATTTTTATAATAAAATTTATAAAATATTTTAATAATATAATTAACATTGTAATGAAGAAAAAGGAAATAGTTATTAGAATTAAAGTGATTTTCTAATGTTTTATTAAATTATTATTTTTCAATTCTTTTTATTGTTTTAAATTAATCGATTTATATTGGTCAGTTCAATCAAAATTGAATAATATAATTGATATCATTATCGACAAAGTATCATTTGATTATATAAGTATATATATAAAGAGAGGAGGGTTAGTTATTATGCAATATTTTGCATTTGTACAATTAATACAACTCAATCTCAACTGTCTATTCAATTTGATTAATATGTTATTTCATAAAAGTTTTGATTGTTTTCTAATATAAAATATTGATCATAATTAATGAACTTTAGTCATTATGCACAAATATTCAAATTATAATAAATGAACTCTCATCATTTTCATAAATATCTCAATTAATTGGGTTGTATTAATTGTAAAAATAGACATGGTTGCATTTGAGATATACCATATATATATATATATATATATATATATATATATTATCGATCAATTTTTCATAAACTATATAATTGAAAAGGTCATAAAAAGAATCTTATACCCACCAAAAAGAAAGCAAGAAATTGGACTTTTTTCAGGAGACCTATTTGTTCCTTTTATTGTCAATATGTGAATAAGTTGGTTGAAAGTGACAAATCATTTTTTGGTACAGATCTCAGGTTTAATGCTTAAATTGCAAATTTTATTTTGCACCTTCATAACTTTTTATCAGGGAAATTGGTTGAAATAGACATTTTCCAATACTGAATGGTCTTTTAGTCGCTATTCTCCTAAATTTACGTTATGTTTGACAAATTAACTGGTAGCTATAAGCTAGTTGATTAACAAATCATGTTTGACAAAACTAGCTAATAAGAATGTAAAATAATCAAAGTGGGCATCTTGAAAAATTAATCAATTATAGTATTTTAAAATATAATTGAAACAAATTTTTAATAATATAAATATTAACTAATACAAATAAGATGGTTAAAAAAAATAAAAAATATGTTATATTGATTAAAAGAATTTCAAATTGATTATATGGGTTGGGTTCACGTGAGACCAAGGGTTTTTCGTGAGACCCGTAAGACCAATTTATGTTCATTGATTAGCTTTATAAGCTAATAATCTAATGGTATAAAGTTGCATGGTGGCAATTTTGTGATTATAGAGAAGTCTCGTGGTAATTTTGTGATTATGAATGTTCAAATTGTAGATCTAATCTAAAGGTTGATAATTGGTCTTACGGGTCTTACGAAAAACCCTTGGTCTCACATGATCCCAAGTCTATTATAATATTTGGATTTGTTAAAAAATACTAGAAAAATCTATTATTAATTATTTAAGGATTTCAAGTTTAGAAGTTTAGATTCATAGTTTTTTATGGGTTTAGATGGATTAATCCGTGATTTGTAGTCAGATTGATGTTTAAAATGGTTTTGGACTTTGATTTTTATGCTTTAAGACTTTTAAATCGACTTTGGAAAACCTGGATGGGAAAATTTGCATTTGTGGCGAGTTTGGAATTGTCAAACAGTCGCTCAAGCGACTTTAGTCACGACACAAGTCACGTCAAGAACTGTTTTATGCCTTGTTGATTTTTTCCTTTGTTTCTTGATTTGAGGTAGGTTCGAAGCATTGTTTTAGGGGTTTGCTTTAGGTATACTATTGAGTGGTTTTTGAAATAATCGAGGTGGTTTAACACCATTCCTATGTCGGTTAATTCAGGTTTTCGATTTGAGCCTTATTAATGTGTTTATTTGTTGCGTTTGCCGTATATTAGGCATCTTCTTGGGTTTTGGTTATGAATATCATAATGGAGTGACGGTGGTCTATGAACACTGTACAAAGCCTGTTGTTTTGAATATTACACTATTAATTATATTAGTAAAATATTTTTTCTTTCTCTTAAATATTTAATTTCAAGCAATCTCATTGGTAGAATGACTGAAAATCATTTCAGTCAAATAGGTTGAATGTTTTGGAAAATCTGTTGGAATAAAAATCACCAAAACCTTGATTTTAAAAAAAATGTTGACGATTTCTTCAGAGTGTTTTTATGAATATGCATACTTAATTGACCATGTGTTTGAACATGATGGTTTGAGAAGATATAAATGATTAAATTCCACATATAATTAACTGTCTGATATTCTGGGTTGGGTTCATGTGAGATCAACGTTTTTTTGTGAGAATTGTAAGATTAATTTATGTTCATTGATCAACTTTATAAGCTAATGATCTAACGTTACACAGTGGCAATTTTGTGATTATTGAGAAGTCTCGTGGCAATTTTGTGATTATAAATATTCAGATTGTAGATCTAATTCAATGGTCGAGAATTGGTCTTACGGGTCTCACAAAAAACCCTTGGTCCATGTTATCAATAATGTATCATAACAACCACAAGGGTGGTGCTTGATTGGTTTGAACTTGGCTCCAAAGGTCAAAAGTACCAAGAGGTCCCAGGTTCAAATCCAATGAGGAATAGAAATCTCCTTGTGGCCAGGAGGTTCAAATGCGGTGACTTCGGGCTATCTGCAAAGCAGGTGGTCGCCCTGTAATTAGTCGGCTCGCATAACAGGTTGGATATCCAGGTTAATCAAAAACATATATATATATATATATATATATATATATATATATATATATCATAACCATAAATGAAAATGAAAATCCACATTAATTTGTTAACATATTAAAAAACTCTAGATTATAATAATAAAAGTGAATTACATAACGTAGAAATAAACTCTTATAAGATAGGAACACTAATACGGTTTTCCAACATCGGCAAATTAAAAGAAACTGATAAATATAATGATCTAATTAAAGAGTAATAATAAAACCTTAAATCGAAAATCCGGCTAGCCATAGCCACGTGGTGCATGCATGCTTTGATTATAATTAGTTATCGGGTTCATTGGAAGAGGTTGGTGGTCCAACCTGATAGCGTTTGCAGTAGTTATCTAGTAAGGAAGGGAAAGTTGGGGCATTAGGAAACATGTGGAGCCAACAATCGGTAGTTATGTCCTTGATGGCAAGACAACATGCAGGGCCGATGGTTGTTCCTATTGTTCCGTTCAAGAAAGCAGTATAAACCTCAGAATAACAACCTCCGATCTCTTCTATAGACAACCAACATTGTTCCAACGGCGGTAGGGAAGGTGGTGGATTGAACCCAAACCCTGGTGTTAGGTCTTGAGCTAGTCCTGATGGCGAAAAGACTAGCAGTGTTGCAAACAAAGAAACGACGAGAACCGATATCGATGATTTTCGAAAAGCCATGGATGATGATGAATGTATTTGTGAGAGTTTTGGTTGAAAGCGAAAGAAAATGGTGGTATTTATAGGTGTTTTTTGGTGGGGAGGTTTTTAACGAATTTATTCATTCAAAAAAAATTCTTTAATGTTATTTATGAACTTATATATATATATAGAGAGAGAGGGATGTTATTCTACACCATTTGTCATTCCTACACCCTATACAACCCTCATATCAACCATTCAATTTTTAATCAATTAATTGTTTCCTAATATAAAGTATTAATCATAATTAATAAACTCTATTCATATTCCATAAATATTCAAATCATAATAAATGAACTCCAATCATTTCTATAAATATCTCAATTAATTGGGTTGCAAAGATTGTACAAATGCACAAGGTTGTAAAAGAAATATACCCTATATATATATATATATATATACCTATTACAGGTAGAAAAATGGAGATCGAAACAAATAACTCCGTGAGAAGTACTCTTTGATCATTTCTACTAATTTAAAGCCCCTCATAGGAGCTAGCAACTGTTAATATGCTCATATTGGTGATGTTATTGTTGTTGCGATCAAAGACGCAGTCCCAAACATGCTTTTAGAAAGATCATAAGTGGTCAGAGTTGTACTTGTCTGTACTTGTAAAGAACTTAAACGTGACAACAGTATGATAATACGATATGATGATAATGTTGCAGTTGTGATTGATCAAGAAGGAAATCCAAAAGGAACTCGAATTTTTGGTGTGATTGCCATGTAATTGAGACAGTTCAATTTTACTAAAATTGTCTTTTTCAAATAAGCCAATTCATTTGAAACTCTGCACATCCACTCCCTATAGAATTATAATTTTTCATTTTTTATTGAACAGAAAAGACACGAAAATACATGTAGGATTATCATTAGAACCATCATACTTACCACGATCCTCCCTCTAAGAACCGTATATGAAACTTTCATCTCGTACAACTCAAGCAAAAACACCAAAATACTGGTTGTTGGACCGGATATGTAATAGAAAGTTTTAAACTTCTTACTTTCCAATTCAATCTGCTCTGAAGATACGAATAAAAGAATCTGAAAGTTCTTCTTTGTTACGATAATACCAAAATATCAAGTTGACTCATTCGTCTTTATCTTGATCCTTACGGGCCTCTCGAATCCTCTCTTTCCTATTTCTTTCTTTTTTATATTTTTTGTTTTTTTTTTGTGTGTGTATATATATATATATATATATATATATATATATATATGCATTTATAGTTGTAAATGATATATGGTATATATGAAAACAGTTTTAGAAAGATTTGGAAAAGAAAAACACAGTTATTTAAGCAATGCCATAAATGAGTATTAATTAAGCACTTCCACTTGAATTCTTTTTGTATTACATCTTTAATTATAATCTATTTAAAATCCTTAATTCTTACAAAATATATAATAATATTTTATATTTATATGAAAATAATGTGTTCATTATTTGCAGCTAAATACGAAATTCTTTGCTCATAGATTTGTTGCATTCAGAAATAGAAACCTTCATTGAAAAAGGGTATTTTTATGTATGACAAAATGAATGAAAATACAACGTATTTTTTTTTTACTTTCAAAAGCTCGATTTTGAGGAATCTACATAATATATCGCATGGTTTAATTAACAAGGGGTCGTTTACTTTATACTTACCCGGTAAGTGTGGATCGGATAACTTTCCTCACCTGATGCACATGACAATGGCTGAAAATCTTACTCGGTAAGAACGATAATAAGGATAGAAGGTCTTACTCGGTAAGTGATGGTGATGACTCTTATCCGGGTAAGCGTTAACCGGGTAAATTGTTGCATACGATACCGTTTTAATATAATACAATCTTATCTGGTAAAATAGATCATAGTGTTGACTCCTACAGATAAACGCTTATCGGGTAAGTATTTGAGTAAATGACCCCTAAGTTTATAAACAAATTAAAAAAATCATTCTTAAAAATGTTATTAAATTTAATTTTTTGTTTGAAATGTTTTATTATAAACATCAAAATTTAAGTTTTTAAGTTTCATAAAATATGAAACAAAATAAGTTACATTTATACCTCCAAATTTAGAAGGCAATACTTCAATTGATGGAATTCCCTGTCGCAAACTGTCTTTTTAAGGCAATATTTTTTTGACATTGCAAATTCAGAAGAAAGAAAATTATTAACCCGAATATTCAACTCGTTATTCGAGCTGACTAATTACAGGACGACCATCTGTTTCGTGATTACACCGCATTTGAACCAACGTGTCCACAAAGGGATTTTTGTTCTCCTTGGATTTTTGAACTTGGGACTTCCAGGGACTTTTGACCTTTTGAGCCCAAATTCAAACTAATCATGCACCACCCTTATGGTTAAGAAAAGGATACTAATATTCAAATAAAAACGTAGTTAAAATAAGAGAGAACAAGGTCTATATCAGATGTGATCTAAGACTAAAAATCACATTCGGTTCATGTTCAATCAAAAGACAGGCATGCACCTGAAAGTTTGGTGACCGGACCTAAATCAAATATGATTTTAGCCAAAAATCACATATGATATAGGTATTCTCGCGTTATATATAATCATGTGATATACACATAATGAAATATTTTCAACCATTATTCATTATTAAATAATACATATTCCACATATATATATATATATATATATATATATGTGTGTGTGTGTGTGTGTGTGTGTGTGTAGTAGTCATACTCAAGTAAGTTAAAGTATTGTTTTAACGGCACAAAATGCATAGCATTTGCACAGTCAAACTGCTAAAATAACTATTTACTTCATATTAGATTACACTCTTTGGAAAGATGACGCTGAGATCGATCTCACTGCTTTAATTCACTTTCAGATATATGTGTGGTTAATTAAGACCAATTCCTATTTGTTCCCCAGCTTGGGCTGCACCGAAGGGCCTCGTGGCGGTCCAATTTGATACCCAGAACAAAAAATTTGAAGAATCGGAGGATAAAATGGATTAAAACCAAAGAAAATATTTGGCCAACACCCTGAATTCAATTCTTGAGCAGCTCTACAACAAACTGGGCCCGGAAGGATTCGAGTTTCACCACGTGAATAAGCTCTTCTGGCTTCGAGAAAACAATCTCCTATGCTCAAAAACGCAGCTCGACAGTCTATGATGCTCGCCTTTTGTGGTGAGTCGAGATCGAAAGTTGGTCCTTGGTTAGCTAGGGCTACCACCATTGCCATGCAAATGCATGAGAATGAAAATGAAAATGAAACTAAGATTTTTGAACCACCCATGGATTAATTAAAATGCAAATCTTTTAGGTTGGATTTCATAAATTATGACTTGATTTATACTCGAGAATTTCTAATACGTGAAGAAACGTAATGTTTAATTGTGAATGTGTATTAATTATGTGCAAGTGTATTAGTCTAACACGATAAATTAATGGTTTAATTATCCGTGACGAAGTCATGAAGGGAGTAATGAGAACCACGGGTTATGCCCTATTGGTTGAGATCTTGAGGATGTGGTGGAATATCTCATCTGTTCAGGGTTTGATTCAATTCCAGACATATACAATAATTGTGAGCTTATCAAGGCAGATTTTTTGCATTTTTCGACTAACTCAGCAGCCGAGGATCGCAGAGGAGCCTGAGATCAAACCCGAGACTTATCTTGTATTTAGATAAAATCAGCATGCCCATTTTCCAGCTGAGCAGCAAATTTTGATAAATATTGCATTACCTCAATCATAAAAGTTTGTGCTTGTAGAACATGGTAAAATAAAAACGTTTAACTTGGAGTTAAAACAGTGCTGATTGTGCATCCATATTAATCCGGATAAGTGTTTATGTAAACGACCTCTCAATTTCTTTTTATTATTTCAATTTTACCATAAATTCAAGTAAACTCTACTTTTCATTCTAATATGGAGGGCTCTTGGTTCAGTTTGAGAAATAAAAATGAAAATCACAGGGATTAAAAATGGAAGTGACTTTTCATTCCTCTAATGAAAAGTTGGTTTTATGGAGGAGGAATGAACTCATTATATTATACTAGAAGGGTATTCGTGCAATGCAGCGAGATGCATCTTGATTTTAATATTTCATTTTATTCTTTATCTCAATCGATGTTATAATATGGTCTTATGTGATTTTGAAAAAAAAGATTATGTTCTTATTTTTGAATAAAAATATAAATTTGAAGATGTCATCAAAATTTGACAAAAATATATCGATATTAGTATCAAATCAACTATTTAAAAATCCTCATTTTTGTAAAATTTTTAATTCATTTTTTTAATTATAATTTAATTGAAGTTCAATAACGAAGTAATTTATATTTGGTTTAATAATATAATTTTTTTTTAAAGATAATAGTTAATTATTTTGTTAGAACTCAATAATTATCCTAATTGTATTTTAGATCTTTTATATTTTAAAATGAGATTTTTATCCTCTATTTGATTGTGTTTATCTACAGTTAGTTACACGAATTCAAACATGGAACTTTAATAAATTGTACTTATACATAATTTACTTGTAATCTTGAATTTTAAGTAATAAACATCAATATACAGTACTTCATGCATAAAAAATGGTTTTTAAGAGTTTTTGTCAAATGCTTTATAATATAGTATAGATAAAATCAAACAGTTTATTTCATTATTATTCTCAAACAGTTTAATACCTCTAACCAAACACCCCCACATTTTATATACATAATTGTTGTCATGAATCAATATAATAAAATTGGGTTATTAGAAGTTAACAATTTTTAGGTGTCTCAATAGATCGGTTTATAAGATTTAGCAAAATAAAACGTTTTATATACAGGAGTGTTGTAATAAGCTTATAGACACTTTTGGGTGAGATTTTAAGGACACTTTTAATATAAAGCATCATATTAACTATTTCATAGAATATTTTGAGAAGTGTCATATGCACGCATATTTTTATAGAACCTTTTTTCAAATAGTGTCGGGTAAATAGCTAATACGATGTTTTTT